TTTGCTCTTTTTGCTGCAGTTCTCAGGGGTGTGCACACATGCTGGCTTGGTGCATGTGCATGTAAATGTTGGCAGGACTGGCTTGGTGCATGTGCATGTAAATGTTGCAGGACACTTTGTTTACTAAGGAGGAATGGATTGAAATTTACGATTTGGCTTATGCTATAGACAGAAGTTCACCCAAGAAGTACATTCCTTCCCCAACAAAATCATTTTAATTTATTATGTTATTATTTTGGGAATTGCATTGAAGAAACTTTCCTCAAAAAGTAGGTTAAATATTTTAATAAATAAATGAACAATGGCAAATACTTACTTACTTACTTCATAAATTTATACACCACTGACTTATAATGAGACACTACTCTAAGCAGTTTATAAAGATAAAGGAAATCACCTAACAAAACAAGATGAATGTGTTCATAAAATAAATCCCCAGATGATGGTGGACTCTAGGTAAAATTTATTATGGGAAACGTAAGGAGGGATGCCCTTACGTAAATGCTTCCTGAAACAGTAATGTTTCAGCATCCCCTTAAAGAATGACAGGAAGGAAGCCTGATTAACTTCCACCAGCAGCCCATTCCATAAAGTAGGGGCCATGACTGAGACTGCCTTATTCCATAATCTGGAGTGACATTCTGATGTGTTTAAGTATGCGGCAGCATGCCACATGAGGCACATCTGCACATAACTCAAAGTAGACCAGCATTTGCATTAACTATACAGTATTTTGTTTCTTAAGCTATGGATTTGACATTAGACAACCAAGCAGATCATGGCTTGTCTTTCCCACCTCTAGTTTGTTTCCCTCTTATCCCTTCTGTCAGATCCCTCTTATCCCTGTTTCAGGGTGAGTAGCTGGACCAACATGCCACTGCTGTGGGTTTAGGTGCCACAATAATCCATGAAATCCAAGATGTCGTTCATAAGACAACAACAAACCATGGGTATTTCGTGAATGGTCAACAAACCACGGCTTGTTTGTAAAAGCATGCATCATAACAAGCCACATTTCAACAAGCTACACCATGACTTGTTGTGACAGGCAAACATAATCAATGTGTGCATGTGTATGTGCATGCACATGTGCATTTCAAAGAATGTTAGAAAATGTCCCTCAAGGGGAAACAGTTGGGACTTTAGAATGTGCACGCACAGGTACACACCATGTTGCAATTCCACCTCCACCCTTCTCCCTATTTTCAGGCTGAGTGGCTTATCTCTCTCTGTGATATTTCCAGCTGAACCATTGCCAAAGGTACAAAGCACTTGGAATGGGGGGGAGAGATCCCAATATGTGCAGTTCACATTTCAAACAATGTCAGAAAATATCCAACAAGAGAAAACAGTTGGGACTTTCAAATGAGTGCATGCGTGAGCATACACATCCCACATTGGGATTCCCCCTTCCTTCTCCCTATTCACAGGCTGAATACCAGCCTTGGCTCTCATTTTCCATTTTCACTTCTGCTGAAGGTACAAAGCACTTGGAATGGTGTGTGGGGGGGTGCGTGCACATGCATTTCAAAGCTCCAACTGTTTTCACTTAGAGTGGGACACTCCAATTACCACCTAAAGACACATATTTACAAGAACATCTGCAGGAGAAAAAACACAATTGAATCCTCCCTCATGAAAACATTGTAATCCTCTACAGGCAGGGGAAAAAGATGCTTTTTAATTAAGTAGGCTGGAACAAGCCAAATCAGCCTTGTACATCACGTAGACACTAAAATATATTTGAAATTCACCCATTTTATAAGTGGAGCAAATCCTGCCATAAATAACCATGTAATCACACTCTTAGTAAATGTATATTTGTCTGCCACTAAATGAAGGATGGGAAACTTGATGTTCCAAAGGCCATTTTTGTGGCTGTTGGGCCCCTTCCAGAAGCAGCAGTTCTCTTTAAAACAAGACAGATGGGGAAGGGGTGGGGACTTTCCATTATTTTTTTCAAAGCCAAAAGTGATTTTCAGAAGGAATGCAGCCATGGAATTCCCTCTGAGTGCAAATTAGGGTTTTGGATGCAACCCACCCTAGCGCTCAACAGTGCTTAAGATGGTAAATAGTAAAACAAAAGCACCTCTCCTTATATAAACTTGTGTGATCAATGCTGGGGAGGCCTTCCACCTGGTCCCACAGTGGAGAATTGTTCATTATACAGAGAAATGGGGGAGGGCTTTCTCAGCTGTAGCATTCCGACTATGGAATGACCTTCCCTTGGATGGGTGCTGATATAGCATCATTTCAGCATCAAATCAAAGTACTGTACACTTATTAGAGCTTTCATGGCCTGCACAGATTTTAATTCAACAGTTTTGATATTTTAATGTTGTCTTTTAAACTATTATATTGTGATTCTTTTTTAAAAAATTGTTTTTTAATTGTTTCATATGGCTCCATAACCTGCCCTGAGGTTATATGATATAGGGCAGGCTATAAATGTTTTAAATAAATAAATAAATACAAATTCAAAGTTATCAATAAAAACAATAAATCAATAAAAACAGAATTAAATGTACCCCAATAACATTATATTAATGAATGAATGAATGAAAATCAACCAAAGGCCTTGAAAGGAGAAGATCAACCACTGACTCTGACTATTCTTCCTAGGCTTTAAAAAAAATTGGAGAGGCAGCTGACAGCATCACTAGATGAGATGACAATTTCAATTTTGCTTTCATATTTTCTTCCTAAACAACATGCTCTGCTTCATTACGCACATCAATCCAATGAGACGTATAAAGGAAATGGTTCTTTACATTTTAGTGATAAATGCAATTACACATATGTTTCTACTTTTAACATGTTTCAGTTACATCTTTTTGTCACATGACTACGCACTGCTTCCAGACTGCAGATCAGTGTCTCATGTATAGAGGACCTAGGACGTGGTAGAGATCCTGCCAACTCCAGTTAGTGTTGTAGCAGAAGAGGTACGGTAGTTTGATCCAATGATCTGCTTTAAATATTTACATGATTCATTAGTAGCCTTCCATATTAAGGGCTTGACAACTTCTATTTTCTTCTCTTTTAAGCAAGAATAGCTCAATTAAGATTACACACACACATTCAGGTAAATTTAAAACTACTGTAAGGCATTTTTATAAAACTGATGGACCTAAGTGGTTTGGCAGTATTCATATATAAAAATGCAACAATGACAATTTGTAAAATAGTTGTTTATGTCACCTTTGGCCCATAACAAGGATCCATGGGTAGTTTAGGGTCCATCAGGGAGTTTTAACTTCAAGTTTAAAAAACAGACCTTTTGAAAAATGTATTTTTACATCATCTCTACAAATCAAAGGCAAATGACACAAAAATTAAATCCCTCATCAAGCCCACTTTGTATTCACACCTGTATCAATGGTGTCAATGTACTATTGAAAACCATCTTAAGGCACTGTAAAATTCAGTAGTCTCCTTTGTCTAGGTGTTGCTTGTGTCCATTATGCCGCTTCTGCCTGCAGGTGCACCACTGTTAGGTGAACACCCACAACTCTGTTAGTTCCACTACTGAGTGGATGAATATAATCCATTAAAAGTAACCCAACAGAACATATACACAAGCAAAGCATTAAATCTGAAGACCTTATGGCATGTAGTATACTCTTATACTGTACATGTTTAATTGGAAGCATGTACTGTGATGTGCCTTTGGTTTAATCACTACTAAATGCGTAAGACTGTAGCCCTGATTTAACCCCTCATATTTTCAGTGTATGTTCTGCTTCCCTTCCGTTTGCAACACTTTGACTGCACATAGTATTTTATTATGGTAATTAGCACGATCCAGAAAATTCGATATTACTGTATTTGGATAAAAATCGGCATGTTCTGTTAGGTGCCCTCAAGTCGAAACCCTAACAGGGCTTTCTAGATAAGACCGATGTTTATGGAGTGGTTTTACCAGTTACGAGGGACGTGGTGGCGCTGTGGGCTAAACCGCAGAAGCCTGTGCTGCAGGGTCAAAAGACCAAGCAGTCGTAAGATCAAATCCACGGGACGGAGGGAGCTCCCGTCACTTGTCCCAGCTCCCGCCAACCTAGCGGTTTGAAAGCATGCAAATGCAAGTAGATAAATAGGGACCACCTCGGTGGGAAGGTAACAGCGTTCGGTGTCTAAGTCGCACTGGCCATGTGACCACGGAAGATTGTCTTCGGATAAAACGCTGGCTCTATGGCTTGGAAACGGGGATGAGCACCACCCCCTAGAGTCGAACACGACTGGACAAAAATTGTCAAGGGGAACCTTTACCTTTACCAGTTACAGTACTCCACTGAACCGCTATGGCTGAGCGAGGATTCGAACCCACACCTTTTGAATCCTAGTCTGTCACTCTACTCACTACACCGCAGTAGATCTGCCCAAGGTTTGGCGTAGGGTAGTTACGCTAATTAAAATAATAATAAAGAAAGGTGTGAGGTGAAACCTGATAACTACTGTTGCTTCTTCAAAAATCGCCGGGTAACTCTACATAAATCACATTTGTGTCATGAAGTACAAGCCTCGGGGAAGGACGGGACCGAAGGAACGAAAGCAAAGCCCCGATGCCGATGGTACTGAAGGCCAGTGACCGATTCCCAAATGTCAGTTTAACCCCTTCTCCCGTTATTCCCCGAGGGCAACAAAGCTAGGCGCCGCCAACGCTTTCCAGGCGCGATCACTCACGGTCGGTATTGAGCGCCAACCGGTTATTCAACGTCTGCTTCCAGTTCATCTTCCGTGATATCCTCGCCGTGATCAGTAATTAAAACCGACCCCCCTCAACCGCCGCCACCAACACTAACATCCGGGGAACGGAGTCTCCGGTCACATGACTGACGCCCCTTGTTGCCATTTTAAGCACATTCCTAGGCCGAGGCCGGGCCCCGGGGATAGGGTGGGGGAGAGGCGGGCAGGGGATCAGAAAAAGAAGAGGCAGAACTACCGCCAAGAACGAACATGGCTTCTCCAGCTTCCCATTGATCCTTGGAAATCACGTGCGTTCGTCAGCTGCCCCTATTGCTACCCTTCAATTGGTCGCGCGTCCCCAAAATGGCAGCTCCCGTTGCATGCCCTGCTTCGGAAGATAGATAAGCACACCGAGTTGTCGGGTTATCGTTTATGCATCTAGGTAGGTCAGGCTGGGCTGATGATGCCTCAAGAATAAACGACAGTACTTGTGTAAGCGACACATTTGCTGTCCTGTAATTCCCCGGTGTGTCGCGCTCTCTGTTAGCCGGGGGGGGGGTCAGCTGTATAGCGTGCGTACCGAGTTTTTCCTTTTCTCTCTCTGTTTCAATGGGTATTATCATGTTGCAGTGGTAAAGTTTCAATGGATTTCAGGCCGAGGCAAAGAGGCAGTCCAGAAACCAGCAAAATCAGGGAGCTGGACAGGGGACAGATTGTCTTCAGTGTGGAAGGGATTGTCACTCTCGAATTGGCCTCCTCAGCCACACTAGACGCTGTTCCAAGTTCCCCTGTTCAGAACACATCACCATAGTCTTTCGAGACTGAAGGATGCCTACTACCAAGATGATTTTATTTTGTTTGGATCACACATGGCTCCCCTTTGTTTCAGTGGAACTATTTAAGACCAGTGTTTCCCCCTTCTTTATGTATTGTAAGGTAGAAGTGCATACATGGGGAAGGATTTTATTGTTTAGTCGTTAAGTCACATCGGACTCTTGGTGACACCATGGACCAGAGCACGCCAGACCCTCCTGTCTTCCACTGCCTCCCGGAGTTGGGTCAAATGGGGAAGGATAGTGAGGTTAAGATAGAGGAAAACTCTGATTATTCGTATTCAGATTTTGCTTCCTGAAAGATGCAGTAATTCTGCAGACACGTTAAAGTCAAAATGTGCAGGTTTTATGTGTGAAGAGTCAATATTGTAATTGCTATGGTTTATGAAATCTTTTTAGTAATGGGAGAAAATAGTGCCTGCCTGTTGTTCCAACAAAGCAAAAATTGCCTAGCTGTCCCTTGAACTTGTCTGAAATAGTGGATTTTGAACCAAGAAAGCTCACATTAAAGTAAATCTGTTGTGCTGGGAAGTGTCACAGGATTTCACCCTTTTTTCAATTCTCCAATTTAATTTTGTCAATAATCCTCAGAACTTAGAAATCAAAGTCCATATTCTCCAGAACCCTTCATCAGAAAAAGATGGTAAAAACATTGGGCTGGATGTAGTGTCATGGCTGGTGAAACTAGTAAAGATGGTAAAAACATTGGGCTGGATGTACTAGTGTCATGGCTGGTGAAACTAGACTGCTCCCAAAGCAAAATAGAGTTTAGATTCCACATGAGATAGAGATAAAAAAAATTATCAGGTTTTGGAGACAAAAGGCTTGCTTGCTCCCACTCCCTAAAGACCTACCATTTGGCTTAGTTGAAACCATATAGACTTTGTTATAAGTTTGTAGCTGAAAATTACAAGGCAGCAGGAAAAGACAAAGACCAAATAGGAGATGAATTGACCCAATATAGGAAGCCACAGCCTTAAGTTTGCAAGAGCTGAGCAGGGCTGTTGATTCATGTGGTTGCTATAGGTAAGAGATGAATTGACGGCACATGACAACAATGGAAGACTGAACATAAAGTCTTAGTCTTTACATCAGCAAAACAGAATAGGTAGGAGTATTGTCCTAGGCCCTGAAGTTTGGAAAGTGTGAGGGCAAGAGGAGAAGGGGATGACAGAGGACGAGATGGTTGGACAGTGTCATCAAAGTGACCAACATGAATTTGACCCAACTCCGGGAGGCCGTGGAAGACAGGAGGGCCTGGCGTGCTCTGGTCCATGGGGTTACGAAGAGTCAGACATGACTTAACGAATAAACAACAATCGTCCTAGGCTTAAAAATCAATTATGGTCAAAATGATAATCATATGACTTGATCGTTTTTCTCCTGTAAGACTTCAGAAAGGCATGTGTGGCTTTATCTAAGGCAGTTGGAAGGAGGACAGTCCCCCTTTTGTCTCCAGTGGTGGTGAGGGGAGGAGTTGCTGATTGATAACCTTTCGAACCCATTTTGTTCTGTTGCTATTCTGGTTTCATGACCCAAGGGCATTACATCCAGCCCAGTTGTTGGAACTAGTTACCTTAACCACAGATTTTGTACTGTCTATGCTTAATATTTTTCGAGATCTCAAAAGCTCATCTTATTTGTACCTTCTTAGCGATCCAATGAAGGTATTGCCCAACTTGAGACTTTCTTGCTATTAATGGATCATATGGCGATTTTAAAAAGACATTCAGACTTATAATCTCCTTATATGTTTCTGCTCTTCTTTTTTCCATGGACTGGGAACTTTATTGCCATTGTGCTGTCTAGTGATAGCTTTATGGTAAAGTTTTGTAAAGAGAAACCAAACTTGTAACTGCTCTTCTGGTTCAGACAAAATTAGAAACAGTATTCTGTTAGTTGAAAATGGAAATGGATTCTTCTATGGCTATATTAGAATATAAAGTTGGACGATATGGCCTTCAAGGTTGTTTGCCTAACACACTGAACTATGACTGGTACCGTCTGCTCACCCAGGCTCTCTGCTACATGAAGCAGAAAACAAAGCACTGCTATTCCCAATGTTGTGCTGTCACAGGGATGGCAGATGCACAGCTTTCCCCCTTTAGATGAGAAGGATACTGCTGTTACACCTGCGTTCCTGTTCCAACAACCATTGTAAAATAGCAGTAGTGCTGACATTTGTCCTCTCACTCCTGTGCCCAAGAAAGAAGCTGCACCCTCCACTTGAAAAAGATGAAGGGCAAGGTGCCATTTTTTGTACCTCTTGTGTGAAAGGGAAGCAGAGTCAGTGCCTGCCTGCCTGCCTGCAGAGGAAGGGGTCATGGTGTCAGCAGCAGACCTGCCCACCCAGAAAGAAAGCAGGTGCTGTGATGGTGGTGTGTTGGTAGTGCCCTCATGGAGAGGAAGACAGCTATATAAAGAGGAAGATTTCACCTATATAGAGGTGAAGTCTATCAGAATGCCTGGTTGTGAGAGTCCTCAGAACCAGGTTCTGCAAATGTGAGGACTAAAAAAATGGACTGCCTGTTGCAGAGGCAGTTGTGCTAGTTTGTCCTCATATGTGCTCTGACTTTGTGAACCCTTGGAGCCAGGCATTCAGGAAGCAGCCAAGTCTGGAGAGTTGTGCACGAACAGCCACAGCTCTTCAGAGCAGCAGTGCGATGGCAGTATAAGCAGCGGGGTTGCCTCCCCCTTCCTCCTCCCATGTGAGGCAGCACCTCCCTCGGGCTCCCTTGGGAGATCCAGCCCTGATCGATCCGTCAGTCAGATGTAAACAAATGTAAAATTCATAAAAGGAATTTTGGTGAGAAGTTCCAGTCATTTACATTGTTTTTGGTCACTTTGTATAAGTAGTTAATATTTTGTTTGTTTGTTTTTCATATAGCTGGGTCTCATTTGACTGAAAATTTCGTGTCACTGGGCTTACTCTTGGAGTGTATGATTATGACAAGTGAAAGACTGTCAGGGGTGGAACTTCTTTCAAGCTTTTCCCACATGTGAGGAAAGAGATGGTTTCATCTGGAAATGATTGTAATTTGGCTCATCTGAAGACATTAAAAACTGACCTACAGTTAAAACAGTTAACTGAAACCATCGAATCTACCAGTAACTTCTTTTCATGCCTTATTTCATATTTGTCAGTTTCGATAGCACTTTTGATACACCTTTATACACCATACATTTGTTACTAAGTTGCTCCTTCAAGATTTTCTGCTGGCAGTTTTTTCAACAACATGCAATTCTTTCACCAAACAAGCAGTTGCTTTTTACAGACTTTAGTGAAAAAATACCGTGTCTTCTCTCCTATGCCAAGGTTTCAAGAATTGCCTATTAACTTCGGACGTGCCATTTTCGCCACCTCATATCGCAGTGCAGAACGGGAGGATTCTAAGGTACATGAGCCAGGATCGTCCACGTGGTACTCTAGAAAAAGAGATGAAAACAAAAGGAAGGAACGAACTAGAAAAGATGGCTTTTTGCCACAAGCTTACAATATGTTTGCTGCTGGTGCAGCAAAAAAGAGATCTGTAATCTCTGGAGAGGAAGAACAACCAGTTATTTCTACAAAGAAAGAGGTTCATTTTCCTCCCCCAGAAAACCCCCTCAGTCTTGAGGAGTGGGAAGAGCTGAAAGGAAAATATGATGGATATCAAATATTTGAAGTATTTATGTTGCTGCAGATGATTGATTACAATAGATCCATAGATGTGGCTAAGTCTCTATTAGCTGCAGTGGCTAAACGAGATGGAGATATTCATTATAAAATTTTGCTGCAATACTTACACCTGTGTGTTTCTCAACAGCAAACGAAAGAGATTTATGATATGTTTGACATTATGAGAATGAAATTTAAGACTTTAGAAAAATCAGCATCTACTCTCCTTATCAAAGGCCTTAGTAATTCACCACATTGGAGAGATGCCTTGACAGTCCTACAGCAGATTAAAAAACAAAAAGTTATGACCCCTACAAGTAGGAATTATAGAGACTGCATCAAGGCAGCCATTATGAACCAGGAAATAAATCTTGCATGGAAGTTATTTCATGAGTTGCTAGCTGAAGGCTTGACGCCAACCATGGATACCCTACAGCTTTTCTTTGACACTGGCAAGAGTGTACAAAATGATCATTGGACAAACGAACTTATTTACATCCTCAGATATTTAAGAGATAATCAAATATACCCTGGAGAAGATCTTGTGCACAGCATAAAGCAGTGGTTTGAAAGGTAAATTTGTCACTGGAGAATTGGGTCCAGCTGGACTCATGTCTTCATTATGTGCATATGTACTAATGCTAAGCAATTTGTTAACTTCTAGTATTGTTGTTTGGAATTATGTACGACCTATCCACATGGGAGGATTCCTCATTTTGTGTCCTGTGGCCAGAGGAAGCCAATTTCTTTCATTCTAGCAAGTATTCAATAGCAAGATTATAGTGTGCAGAAGGAAAGTGGCAGAATTTCTTGCATCTGTTTAGTGAAGTGTCTGGGTGTATGACTGGCCTGCAACAGACACCTTGCCAAATAACTGCGACCATTTCTGCAACTCAAGTTAATTTCCAGCAGGAGTCTTGCCCCTATTTTAACAGTGCAAAGAGATCAGTCAGATAGCCTTCCACTGTCTGCTTTTCTTAGATCCCTACCTGTACTCTCCCAGACATGCTGATGATGACTGTTGGATATGGCCACTTACTGTATATACAGTGATGCCCTGCTAGACGTTTACCCTATTAAACGACAAAATCACTTGACCATAGCGATTGCAAAACGATGTTTCCTATGGGGTTTTTTCATTTAACAACGATTAGATCCCTGCTTCGCGAACCGATTGTTCGCAAGGCGACGATTTAAAACAGCTGATCGGCGGTTCGCAAAATGGCTCCCCGCTGTTTTCCAGACCTATTTCCACAAGACAGGGATCACAAAATGGCTGCCCTATGGAGGATCTTCACTACACGAGCAGGGATTTCCCCCATTAGACCACATTAACCGGTTTTCAATGCATTCCAAATGGGGTTTTATTTTCACATAACGACGATTTCGCTGTACAGCAATTTTAACGGAACGCATTATCGTCATGCGGGGCACCACTGTACTTGAGTATAAGCCTAGTTTTTCAGCACAATTTTTTTTGCTGAAAAACCACCCCTCCTCAGCTTATACTTGAGTCAGTGTCAAAATTACATGTTTTTCCCTGCAATGTGGGTGTTCTCTGGACTCCCCCGCTCATCTATGGGCGCCTGCAGTCTCTGTGGGTGGTCCAGTGACCCAGGTTAAGTACACTGCATTTCCATTTCCAGGACACTCCCATCCTCCTTCTGCATATTCTATGTACCCATCTTCCTCATCCATCCTCCCTCTCCTTCCATCTTGTTACGCAGCAGTAGAGCAGTAGATGAGCGCAGCATCTGGTATGAGCCCTCCCTCCACAGGCAGTAAAGTGTCTCTCGCAGCTCAGAAGGCCTGTATCTTCAAAAACATTTAACCTACTGATGCCTCAATTAATGTAATTTTATTGGTATCTATTTTTATTTTTGAAATTTACCAGTATTTTTTTTGCTGCATTTTCCACCCTCTGCTTATACAGTACTTGGGTCAATACTATAAGTTTTCCCAGTTTTTAGTTGTTCACTTTTCTATTTCTTTGCACTGATTATTGTAATGTGTTGTTGTATTTTTGTCTGCACATGTATGGGTCTCCACTCTCCATTTTATTCCCATGTAAAGTACGTTGATGCAAGGACACCAAGTAAGCTTTGTGACTAAGCTGTGATTTGAACTTGGGTCTCCCTATTCTATGTCCAACACTAACTATTACAATATACTGGCTGTCTCAAATCATTGGTTGCTATTATAAGTTATATCACATCTGAAGCACACTGGTAGAAAAAGCAGAAAACAAATATGTGTTTAATTTACATAATATGGAAAAGCTCACATTAATTAGCTTAGTATACAAGTTTACATATGTAAATAATGGCACCTAACAATAGGCTGTCCAGATTTAGCTAAATGTACTGTGGCAATCCTAGCATAGACTTATGTTTGGGTGTGATAAAAAGAGGTACTTTTTTGCTATGG